CTTAGAAAGTCAGGGGTTATGTTGATAAACAAAAAAGATCTTTGCTGCAACGCAATGAATGAACATTCGAGGCCGTTTAAGCTGTGCTGTAAAACCCTTGAAAGAAAAATAACGAACGTTGTACTGTTCTCTCTATGTGTTTTGCTCTTGCGTGAACACAGATAAACAGCCAGCCAAACTCCTTATTCAAGAGCCAGGAAGTGAGCGGCTTGCTCCTTTATTGTCTTCTTATAAAGTTAGTCAGCATTTCTGACTGCAATGAATTCGGTGTAAAACTAGAAAAGAAAGATACAAAAAAAATGTCTTAAACAGCCATGTAAATATCAGTATTAACGTATCAAAGTATTAGCTGCTTAATATTAACTCAACAGGTATTCTCACAACAGGCTAGCACAGCAGCAAATTAGCAAGTAAACACAACACACACTGCTGTCACACAAAATATCAATAAAAGATATCAACACTTCTTATCGAATCTATAAACAAGGAGTAACACTTACTACCATTGCTTTCTGAGAGATTAGCTGCATTTTTGCGTTCCTGAGATGATGTATACACGTTTTTTCTCCTGCTTACGTTTTTACTTCCTACTTCCGGTTCGGCGAATTTTCAAAATAAAAGCACCCGAAAATACATAGAAAAATAAAGAACAGTATATTAACATTTTGAAGTTGTTTTTAAGTGTCTTTTAAACATATTAAACATATTCAGGGCAGAACACTCCCCGTCTGGCATTTACTGATGCCACTTAAGATTTAAATGTCCCGATTTGACCTCTGGCTTTCCTTTGCCAGGAGTAAGACCACCTCAGTAACAGGCCTTAAGAATGTCTTTACTTTATCCTGTGATGTTGTCCTAACCTCAACTTTGCGGACTTTCCCATCACCGCTTGGGCTCGTAGATGTGACCAGACCCATTGGCCACTCGTTGCAGGGGGAATCACTCTGTTTAAGTAGCACAATGTCTCCGACTTCCAAGTTGCGACATGCTGTGTGCCACTTACGCCTTGGTTGAAGGGTATGGAGGTATTCAGCTCTCCATCGTCTCCAAAACTCATTAGCAAGTGCCTGCACCTGTCTCCACTGACACTTGAAAAGATCCTTTTCGTCGAAACTGCCGTGTGGAGGAGACACACCTGGTTTTTGGGTCAGAATTATAGCAGGGGTCAGCAGCATTGGAGAGGAGGGATCGGAGGAGACTGGGACTAACGGTCTGGCGTTGATTATAGCGCACACCTCTGCCATTAAAGTACAGAGCACATCATGAGTCAGGTGAGTACGCTTGGTTCTTAGCAGCATGGAATCGAGTATCCTCCGGGTCACGCCAATCATGCGTTCCCACACCCCTCCCATATGGGATGCATGTGGGGGGTTGAATTCCCATGTGCAACCATTCTCATTTAAGTACTTTGAAATGCTGGTTTGCTTTGGATCGTCCGGTCCCATGCCCAGTTCGGAGCTGGCTCCAATAAAGTTTGTGCCCCGATCTGATCTCAGCTGCTTCGCTGGCCCTCTTAAAGCAAAAAACCTTCGGAGGGCGTTAATGCAGCTGGCTGTATCCATCGACTCTATGACTTCCACATGCACAGCTCTGGTGCTCATGCATGTAAAAAGTATGGCCCAGCGCTTGCTCTGAGCTGCGCCACCTCTGGTGCGTCGGGTGAGGACTTCCCAGGGGCCAAAAACGTCTAATCCTACATAGGTGAATGGCGCTGAAGAGCTCAGACGCTCGGGAGGGAGGTCAGCCATCTTTTGGACCTCAAGTCTTCCCCTCAGCTTGCGGCAGGTGACACAACGATGAAGGACTGAACTTATTAACCTTTTGCCAGCCACAATCCACAGGCCTGCAGCCCTGATTGCACCCTCTGTGAATTGTCGCCCTTGGTGTTCAACTTTAATGTGGTAATGATTCACCAGTAGTGCTGTGACATGACTTTGCCTAGGGAGAATGATTGGATTTCTCACCTCTGGACTGATCGATGCATGTCTCAGACGTCCTCCGATCCGTAAGAGGTCATCGTTCATGAAAGGATCGAGGTTCAGGATTGTGCTTGTTCTTGAAATTGCTCTGTCTTCTTGCAGTGCAGTGTACTCTTCTGGATAAGCCTCCCTTTGAACAGACTTGAGTATGACCCGCTTTGCTGCTGTCAACTCTTCTGGAGTACGAAGTCTGCTGCATCGATGCCATCCTTTACATGTAGCTGATGAGTCAGATCTGAATGAATGAGTTTGATGGATCAAAAAGGAAACTGCCCTCAGCAAAGACCCCCAAGTGGAGAAACGTTGGAAACGTCCTGAGGTGAGTTCACATTCATTAATGCAGGTAGCAAGGGTGGTCAGTTGAGGTCTTACATCTGGATCTGTTTCGGGATCCACCAACTTAAAGATCTCTTGTGCTTCAGCCAGGAATGGTTTGTGAAGGAACTCTGGCCCTGTAAACCACATGCTGTTGGTAAGTTGAGATGCTGGAACAGATCTGGTGACCAGATCAGCTGGATTTTGACCTGTAGGCACATAATGCCACTGTTGAGGGGAAGTTGTCTTGCGTATGCGGTGAACACGGTTGTGTACATACACAAAGAATCGCTTTGTTTCATTGCATATATAACCAAGGACAACTTTACTGTCACAATAAAACCTCACTGCATCTGGTTTGTGGTCAAGCTCGTCAAGGATCAGTTCAGCCATCTCGACGGCCAGCACAGCTCCACACAGTTCGAGGCGAGGGATGGTGGGTTCGGGTTGAAGAGCCAGCTTAGCCTTTCCGAGCACAAAGCTAACTCGACACTGCCCATCTGTCATGACAACTCTGAGGTAAGCTACTGCCCCTATTGCCCAGTTTGAAGCATCAGAAAAAACACATAACTCTGTATATGTGGCACTGGAGAGTGACCGTTGTATGTAGGAGCGAGGTAGATGGAGGTCACTCAGGTCCTTTAACGATTCTTTCCATGTTTCCCATTTGTTTAACTTGTCTGCAGGAAGTTCAGTGTCCCACTCGTGAATGTCAGCAGAAAGTTCTCTGAGCAAAGCTCGTCCTTTGATGGTCACAGGCGCAACCAAGCCCAATGGGTCGAAGACGCTATTAACGGTGGATAGCACTCCACGACGGGTGAACGGCTTGTCGTTGACTGCCACTTTAAATGTGAAGGTGTCAGAGTCTATGTTCCAGCACAAACCGAGACTTCTTTGCACTGGAAGCTCTTCTTTGTCGAGGCCCAGGTCTCTCAGGCCTGCAGCCAGGTCTTCAGGTTTGAAGGCTTGCATCACTGTGATGCTGTTAGAGGCGATTTTATGCAGTTTCAGATTTGATTCTGCCAGCGAAGCTTGAGTACGCTTGAGCAGATCAATAGCTTCAGTCTCTGACGGGAGGGAGATGAGCCCATCATCCACATAAAAGTGCCTTTCAACGAAGTGGCGAGAGTCAGAGCCATACTTTTGTTCACCTTCTTGGGCAGCTCTCCGGAGGCCGTATATAGCAACTGCCGGCGAAGGGCTGTTCCCGAACACATGTACTCGCATCCTGAGCTCCATCACTTCCTTAGTCAGATCGTTATCCTTGTGCCAGAGGAATCTTAAGAAGTCTCTGTGGTCTTCTCTCACCAAGAATCCATAGAACATTTGTTGGATGTCGGCAGTCAGTGCAACAAGCTCCTTTCTGAATCTAAGCAGCACTCCCAGGAGCGAGTTATTTAAGTCAGGGCCTGAAAGCAAGATGTTGTTAAGAGAGATGCCACATTCTTGTGCGCTCGAGTCAAATACAACTCGTATCTGACCCGGCTTCTGGGGGTGGTACACTCCGAAAATGGGCAAGTACCAACACTCTGCATTCTCAGGAAAAGGGGGAGCTTCTTCAGCATGTCCGTTTAAAAAAAGCCTCTCCATAAAGGCAACAAACTGTTCTTTCATTTCAGAATTTTTGTTCAGGGTACGTCGCAAGGAGTGGAGACGGGAGAGAGCTTGAGCACGATTATTTGGAAGGCGTGGCCTGGGGAACCTGAAAGGTAGGGGAGCAGTCCAGCTGTTCTTTTCATCTCTGTGGAACTCCTTTTCCATGACCTCCAGAAACTTTTCGTCCTCGAAAGATAAGGCCGGTTTGTCATCATTCTCTGTTCTCACGAACACACAGCATTCAAGCTTGTCCTGAGATGCTATGCCGTTGCCAGAACAGCTGGAGAGATGAGTAGAGGTGCCAGGTCTGTGCTCCCCGCCGTAGCTCACCTTTTCTTTGATGCTGATGTGTTCCTGACAGGGCGTCAGATAGGATGGACGTCCGTTCTGCAGGATGTTGGTCTTATAGACAGCCACAGTGGGTTTGTGAGCACTATCAATACAAACTTCCCCCACTATCACCCACCCCAAATCCAAACGCTGGGCAAAAGGTGCTTCGTGGGGCCCATTGATTTGCTGTCTCACCTTATGGACACGTATGAGGTCTCTCCCCAGTAAGATCAGGATCTGCGCCTCAGGATCAGGCTCTGGGATGTAAGGCGCAACAGGTCTCAAGTGAGCGTGGGAAAGAGCGACCTCCAGTGAGGGGATTTCTGATCGATTGCTCATGATCTCATTACATTCAATGAGTGGTGGTAAGTCTAAACACAATTCACTATTTACTGCTTGTACCTGGAAGCCGACTGCCTTCCTTCCAGTCATTTCAACAGTGCCGGCACAAGTTCTCATCAGGTAGGGTGAAGGGTTGCCTTGGACACCAAAAAGCTGGAAAAACTCAGTTCTAGCCAGCGAACGATTGCTTTGGTCATCAAGGATGGCGTACATCTTGACTGAGCGTTCTTTCTGTCCTTGTGGGAAAACTTGAACCAAGCATATCTTTGCACAAGATCGTGCTGGGAGGCCTTCTCCGCAGACCTCAGTGCACCTTGATGTAATCTCTGAAGGCGTGTGGTTTTGCTGTTCTGTGTCTGGCTCAGCCATAGATGACACTGCTGGTGAGAGGTGTATATCTGGATGCATGGCTGTGCAGTGTCGATCACTTTCACATTCTTAGCATTTCAGCTCCACAGAACAGTCTTTAGCCATGTGAGTAGCAGAGCAGCACCTAAAACATCCTCTGTGATCTCTTAGCAATCCTTTTCGTTCTGTTAGCGGTTTCATTTTAAAGGCTCTGCACTTTTCCAGAGGATGAGATTTGTTATGAAGTGGGCAGTATTTAGCTGGATCACCACTGTTTTTCTTCTCCATCTCTGCTCTATACATTGAGTTTGAACCTGCAGCCGCTGACAAGTCCGTCTTATGGACGGCTATAGTCGTTCTCACACCGTCATGCTTTCCTATGGGCCTCTCATTACGGCAATAAGGGAGGCTGTTGTTTGTCAAGACAAAGCTGGGGTCATTTCTAGCTTTTGCTTCACTATTGACAAAGTCAGCAAAGAAGGAAAACGGGGGATAACTTACAGCATACTGTTCTTTGTATCTTGATCCAGTAGACAGCCATTTTTCTTGCAGGTTTATTGGCAGCTTTTCAACAATGGGGTTAATGCCCCGAGGTGTGTCAAGGTAGCTGAGTCCAGGTAAGTATCCATCATCTTTGGCTGAGAGCAGCTCCATGAGCAGGTCGCTAAGTTCTCTTAGTTTGATGTTCTCCCTTGAAGTGAGACGAGGAAAACTGTCCAACCGTTTGAATAGAGCACTCTCTATCACTTCGGGGGTGGCGTAGCACTCTCTGAGCCTTGTCCAAGACATATGAAGAGCAGCTTCAGGGTTAGTGACATGTACTGCTCGAATTCTTTTAATGTGTTCAGATGATTCCTTTCCTAGCCATTTTACCAGGAGATCTAACTCTTCACTAGCTGTTAGGTGTAAGTCTTGAGTGGCGTTAAGGAAGGAGGACTGCCACGCTCTGAAGCTCTCAGGCTGATCATCAAACTTGGTAAGACCTGTCGTTAATAACTCTCTGCGTGCCAGATATTTAGCAAAGTCCATCATGTTAGCAGCTGGATTAATAGCAGAAGCCCTTGTGTGTCTTGGTGTGGTGGGTGAACCAACATGGCGGTAGATGGGGCTTAATTCAGGGACCTCCTGCCTTGTCATTGGCTGTGTCTCTTTTATATGGGGAGGGGACAGTGTGTCTGAGGCAGGTGTGTCAGGACTGAACCTGGTCTGAGCTTGATGGTTCAGATATGCCTCCGTTCGCCGTTGAACTACCTGTGGTGAGACGTCACTCCTGATGACACTGCCTATGTCCTCATATTCTGATCGTGCTGCAGCTTCTAAAATCTCAGCCTCTGCATTAGCAGCAGCAGCATCTTTTTCAAGTTCTAGTGCTTCTAGGTCTGCTTCTAGTGTAGCTTTTTCCAAATCTAATTTGGCTCTCTGTTTTTTCAATTCCAACTCTTTTTGTCCATATGTGACCCTGGTGCGTGCAGCTTCAGCTGCAGCTCTGGCCTTAGCCGCAGCGCTAGCCACTGAATGCTTGGAGGAAGACGTGCGCTTTGAGCTGGCTACTGATGCTGCCTTTTCATCCTTTTGCGTTGTCTGTGCTTCCATAACTGCAGCAGGCGAATCCCTCTGATGATATGGTTTTTTACTGTACTGTTCTCTCTATGTGTTTTGCTCTTGCGTGAACACAGATAAACAGCCAGCCAAACTCCTTATTCAAGAGCCAGGAAGTGAGCGGCTTGCTCCTTTATTGTCTTCTTACAAAGTTAGTCAGCATTTCTGACTGCAATGAATTCGGTGTAAAACTAGAAAAGAAAGATACAAAAAAAATGTCTTAAACAGCCATGTAAATATCAGTATTAACGTATCAAAGTATTAGCTGCTTAATATTAACTCAACAGGTATTCTCACAACAGGCTAGCACAGCAGCAAATTAGCAAGTAAACACAACACACACTGCTGTCACACAAAATATCAATAAAAGATATCAACACTTCTTATCGAATCTATAAACAAGGAGTAACACTTACAACCATTGCTTTCTGAGAGATTAGCTGCATTTTTGCGTTCCTGAGATGATGTATACACGTTTTTTCTCCTGCTTACGTTTTTACTTCCTACTTCCGGTTCGGCGAATTTTCAAAATAAAAGCACCCGAAAATACATAGAAAAATAAAGAACAGTATATTAACATTTTGAAGTTGTTTTTAAGTGTCTTTTAAACATATTAAACATATTCAGGGCAGAACAAACGTCAAATATTTTAATGTAATTCTTTATGCTTAGTGTCTATCTTTGCAAGCATTGGAATATACACATTTATATATAGGCCTACATGAAAACAGCAGCCACTGAAACCAAAGTTTTGACTGTCTTCCGGTTACATCCTCTGGCTTCACATAAAAAGTCATGTAGCAAAACCACAAACAATTTCCATCATTCAGCACTTTGTAGTTTTACCTGTTCTTATGACTATACGTAACCAACAGTGCAGGACTTTCTCTAGTTGTGAGAGCCATAAAGCTCCTCTTCCCCCATCTTTAGCTGCATGTTTACAGCCAGCTGTGTTTGCCAAGTGAAATAGGGAAAAAAAAGAGCTTGTGCTACTTTTAAATAGACAATGTTTGCTAAGGATTGTTATAAATCCCTCTTTTTTTTTTTAAAGTAATGTATTTTTTTCCCTAAAAGAAAAAGCAGTTCATTATAACAGTTGCCAAGTTTAACTGGGAAATAAAATGACTACCGCTGGCTAGCTACTTAGCCAGTCAAGCAAAAAAACAAGATGCTTTTCTTCTCAGGCCTCTTGCATACAAAGGGGATAACAGTAAAAGGAAACTGTTATTTCTTCAATGTGTTGCTTTGTATGTTTGGTATTACAGCCGCATTTTTATTTCTAATTCAAAGTCAGATTTCAGGTGTGAAAAATCCACTGAAACCTCCCTGAGCTTAGATTTCCAATTTCCTAGTTCAAAGTTCCCTAGCATCCCTGACCTGAAAACTCAATATGGCTGTCACATGTTAAAACAAAAAAAAAACAAAACTGCCATTTTAGCAGGTAAAACTATACAATGGATTGCTAACCCAATCACTGACTCGGCTAAATACATTGAACCAACTATAAATGCATATCACAATAGACTTTTGTTGTTGATCAAGAACAGGTTTGTGTTAACACTCCAGAAACCACTGATCTATTGGAATTTTCACTCACAGCCATTACTTGAGTTTACAGAGAAGCCATTTGATGCGTATTTTGGTGCATTTCATGTTTAATAGTTACATTCCGCCCAGTAATTTACCAACTGCTGACATGCACGCCAAAATAAATATGGTATTAAATGTATTAATATAGCAAGTCACTGCTGTGGATGTTGTGATCATTCAGTTCCCTGTTGGTGTGATGTGATTTCTGTAAAATAGCTGCAGTCTAAGTTTTGCTGCCTGGCGAGCTCCTCGTCACCAAGCAGGCAATGTAAATAATAAGAATGTCTGTGTATTTTTTGTGTAGATTGCAGCTGAGTGGAGATGGACGCAGTGTGAATTGGGGTTAAGATGCTATCATGTTAAGAGGTCAATAGATTTCTAAAAGTTGCTTCTTTAAGGTGGCAATGAGTTCAGTGTAGTCAATTTGCCCTAACATACAGAGAATCTTAGTTTAGTTCATTTGGAAAGTTTGGATAAGTAAATTTGCACAACAAACATTTGAACAAATATGTTATCTTATTAAAGTGGAACTCTTTAACATGTGGAACCCAAAGGCTAAAGAGAATCCAACCTGGTAGTAGTTTGGTCATTTAACAACATATTACTTTGTTATGCAGAAACATAAAACAGAGACATACGTTGCTTTTGGGTTGTCCTGCTAACAGAAATGATCCTGGTCTCTGAGCACAACAGTTAGTCTCAATGTTTTTTTTCAAAACCTGCACCTGGAACATTGTTCAGCAAGACCCAATTACAGAGACAAAATTAAACAGCTCAGTTGGTTGATATTTTTTTCAACCATGGTTTAAAATGGCATCTTTAAAGCTGCCAGCTGGCTCTAGTCTTTTTGCCAAGATGCTGATTTTTAAGATATGTCAATAAACTGTTTTCTCTGGCACTCTTATGAATTCCTGTCCATCAAAACAACTAGAAAAAAAAAAAAATTATTACATTTAGAACTTGCTGCAATATATTATTTGATTATTGATTCCAATGCTACAAAAAAGGTTAAAATAATTTTGTTTTTTTAAATAAAATAAATCAGATGTTTGAATTTTCTCATCTATTCTGTTATTTTGTGTCTGTCCATCAGGAACAACAAAAACATTATTAGTTATAAATAGCTGCAATAAATTATGTTGAAATAATAGTGATGCATAGTATAGTAAAATACAGCAACAGTTGCATGTCTCCTATCATACGTATGATAGCATACTACAATATGGTGGCTTCAGTGGCCAACCCTCATGCACAACAGATCCTGTGTTGGTTTCATCTTTTTTTCCCTCTTTCTGGCAGAGACACAGAAGCACATTCCAATTTTGAGATAAGCAAGACTGAGCTTCTTGAGAATGCAGATTGCGACACAGCGCCTTCTGTTTGCTAAGCTAAGAGACTGAACCCATCGACTAAAACATCACAGAAATAATGAACATGTCAATTGTTTTGATCGGCTCCAGCAGATGGTAGGCCATCTAAGAACATATCACACTTCAAAAAGGCTGGCTTTGTTTCATTTTCGAAACTTTGTTTTTTTGGCTTTGTTTCCACATTTGAAAAATAAAATCAAACGGATTTTCCTGTGTAGTCTTAATTAATCTCTGTAATTATTTTCTAAAATCTGTGATGGGAAAAGTGCTCAGAACTTTGAATCTATGTGAGCAAAATGAGCTACAATTTTAAAATATTTTATTAAAAAGTCATCCTGAAACTTGTTAACAAAAAAAAATCCTACTAAAACAAGTTTATAATGCTATAAAACAATTTCTAAGATTTAAAGCAACAATAGGTAACTTGTGACCAAAGTATTAGCTTAATTTTAGAAACGTAAAAAATATTTTTTAGGTCAATGTACCGGAAGGATTAAACTTCAGTGGGCTGAAGTTTTCACTGAATGGGCCATTGGACACCAGGGGAGGAGCTAAAGGGGTGCCAGGGGTGGCTACGGCCACCTAGCCAATCAGTGGCTACCCCTACGGCTACCCCAATCAGTTGATTTGTTGTTCCCATTGTAACATACTTTACAACCTCCAGAACAAGCAGGTCACCTCCAAAACAGAGAATGGCAGCAGTGATACTCCCAGGTGGAATGTTCTAACTTGATTTTTCCGTTGTTAGCTTTTAACAATAAACTGAAAACAAAATTAGAGTAATAATTAACACAATTAGGCTACATAAAAATACTTATATAAAAAAAGACTAACTAGAAGAACTAAGAACTAAGTTTGCACTTTATGGGGAAGAAGGGAACATTTTGTATCTTTACAGTCATCAAGTAGTTTTTGACAATATTAGGGATAAAGAACCAAAAGAATCAAATATGTATATTATGCAAAACCATAACTTATTTAGATAACACGCATGTATAAATGTGTTTGTATATTTATTAGTGAGGGTATTTTCCTGGTGGTACAGTGTGATTAGTATAGAATGACCCTAATTTGGTTATGGCTTCCATCGGTTTTTGGCCACCCCTTGGTGCACACTGGTCCCTGCCTGGTGACCCCTATAAAAAATTTATGTCTCCCCAACCATGTAACACAAAGCACCAATTTTTTTTTTTTACTGGCACCTATTTTAAACAAAACGGAGTCAAAAAACAGCAGTTCATGCCAAGAACCTAGATGTATATTTATGGAATGGGCCCAAAACCTTATCAAGGATGTATATCTGTGGGTAAATTAGACGTAAACCATCTCAGAGAGTTTAAAAGAACTATAGGGTTTTTTTTTTTGAACGAAACTGATCTTTCAATGATTAGAAAATCTTCTATTGCTTAAAATATTGTAAATGTGTCCTTCCAGTCATCATTAAAAGGTAAATTAATTAGGAAGTTAAACTTTATCCAAAAAGCTGCAGTCACTGTTCTCACTAAAGACTAATAATCACACCAAACTGCTTTTTTAAAATCTTATTACTGTTCAGTAAGGCAGTCAGCGGTCTCGGGTCTTAATATCTTAAGATTTATGTATAGACACAGTCAGTCCACAGTTAAGACCTGCTTAATCAGTGTTTCCAAGTACAGAATGTAACAGGGGAAGTTTGCATTCACCTTTAATTGATAGTGGATCAACTGCTGTTTCCTGCAGCTTAAAGTTAAAGGCAAATCATTGAATTAATTTCTTAACTGTCTAGCATCTTAACTGTCTTGCAACGTGCCTTTTTGATAAAGCTTATAGTTAGAGTGGCTCAGGTTATTGTGAGCTATCTCTATAGTTATGCTGCTATAGGCTTAGATTGCTGGAGGACATAGGGGCCCCTTTTCATAATTCTGCTTAATTCGACCTCCATTCTCCCATTTGGCAATATTTGTTTGTCCATCCTCTAACTTAATGCTCTCTCTGCTTTTTCTCATCATAGTAGCTTCATCCGGTCTGTTCCTGTTTGGCTGTGACACCATCCTAGAGAGATAGATCAGTTGTGCTGCTGCCATCAACACCTTTGTTTATAGAAGTTGGAGGTTGGCCTGTTTTTCAGTGTAGTCTTGTTTCTCTTTCTGTGACTAACTCTATGTGCCATCTTTCATCCTCTGACATAGGGGCTAACTAAGAGCTTGTCTGCCTGGCTGTGTGTTTCCTGGACGGGGCCACCTATGGAGCTGATTTAGAGTTAAAGATTGTATCTTTGCTTCTACTATGTCTACTTCCATCTCTTTGGGCTGCAGTTGGCTTTGGCAGATGGCTGCTCACACTGAGCCTGGTTGTGCTAAAGGTTTCTTTCTGTTAAAAAGTTTTCCTCTCCACTGTCGCTACAAGCATGCTTGGAGTGAGGGATTGTTAAAGAGTCAATGAATTGACGCAGTCAGTTGGGATTTCTTAGAGAGAAATATTTGAACCAATCTGACTGTATAATCTGGTTTAATTGTCTCTGTACAGCACCTTGAGATTACATTTGTGAATCAGCACTATATGAATAAAGT